TGTGCTCTCCCGGCAGAGAGTTTCGAGATCTGATTTCGTGGCAGCGGGGCATTTACATGTTTACAAAGTAGAGCTGGGGACGGGACCGTGTCGGGGAGGAGGGTGTATTCTCGATGAACGATCCTGTCTCTCTGAAGCCGGTCAGTTGGTGCCGCCGCTCCACCCGCACATGTTTTCCGGTACGTGCCGGGAGAGCTCGGAGCAGAGTGCTCAGAGCAGGCCCGACTTGGAGTCTTCTGTAGCTGACGAGTCCGCCCGAGAGAGAGAAGGGCCACGTCGCCGCACTGGAGGCAGAGCACGCGGGCCTCGTCCCGCAGGGGCTCGTGCTTCCGTTCTTTCTGTCCGAGAAATTTATGGCAACGGTTAACGCCCATTGAAGGTTTACTACGTGCGAGGCTCCGGGCTGCCTATTTTATATGATCCCATTTAATCTTACCTACAGGGTAAATATTATTATTTCCATTTTATGGTGAGGACATTGAGCTACAGGCAGGTCAAGTGAGGCTCCCGGGGCCGTACAGTGAGGAGGTGGCGAGGCTTCGTACGTGCAGAGCACGTGTTCCGACCGCTGGCCCGCGCGTTTCCCCAAAGGCTCCCTGTGTTCCCCGTCGTTTCGGTAGTGGACGTAGAATGGTGGAGTTTCACTGTATCTTCCTCTTGTGTTCCCAGAAATTGAGCGTGGCTCGTGTGACTGATTCCTGGGTGGTGGATACGGTGCTAGATTCTCATATTTCACTATACGTATTAAAAGTCTATAAAACAAGGGTTTATAATGTTACGTTTGTCTGGAAATTTGCTGACACAGCTCTACGGGCTGTGTATAAATCAGTCTGTCGTCAGAGGGGTGTGCTTTTAGAGCAAATAATCACTGGCTTATCCACCCCACCCTGCCATGTTCGTTTAGATGGAAGTAGTTGGTTGGTTTTTTTTTTTTTTTAATGCCAGAATTTTGATGTTTTGCCACAGTGTGTTTGCAGCAATGATAAAAGTTTCTCCCCACTCATAATCCCAGCCCAAATGCATTTTGTTTTGAATTCTTAACCCCTTAAAAATTAACTTATAAACGTAAGATTAGTGTTCCCAATTCTGCTTGGCGCTGTGATTCAGAGCTATGAGGGAGTTTGACACGGTGACCCAAAATAGGGAGCTTGGCCAGATAACCCCTTAGTGTCTTTGTCTCCCTTGCAACTCACCTGTTTTATCGCACATTTACACATATTAGCCATGCTAAGCTCTGCACCCTAAACAGTTTTGTATCAGACTCAACACAATGCCAAGTACGTGGGAATTATTTACTAAGCATTATGAATGGGTTTTAGTAGAATTTTAAATTGCTCAACTAAGTCAGAGTTTTACTAATCTGGATATAATAAAGACAACATTTTTTTTTTTTCCCTTGAGAAGTAGTTTTTTATTGTCTTGAGTTCATTTTGGTCATTTAGCATTTTACTTGAAAGGCATTTGTGTGGCCACTAACTTTTTTCGTCAGTGAAGTTTATTTTTACATAACTGTAGACTCAACGTGCAGTTGCAAGAAATAATGTACATTTTACATTCCTGCCAGCCATGTCCAAGTAATCGAGTTTTGCTGCATCCTCACCAGCCTTTGGAGATTTCCCATATACTCCGTTTTCCCCACCGATACGTCGTGTAAAGCCATGTTCAATATCATACCAGGATATTGACCTTGATGCAGTCAAGATACGGAACAGTTCCATCACCACAAGGATCCTTCCTGTTGCCCTTTTACAACCACGCCTATTCCCTCCCCTCCCACCTCACCCCCTCCTCAGCTTGTGGCAACCACTAACTGTTCTCCACTTTTACAATGTTGTCATTTCAAGAACGTTCTGTGAATGCAGTCATAGAGCATGTAGTCTTTGGAGATTGGCCGCTTTCGTGCAGCATAACTGTCTGGAGAACCAGCCAGGTGGCTGCGTGAATCAGCAGTTCGTTCCTTTTTATTGCTGAGTGTTGTCCCACATGTGAGTGTAGCGCTGTTTCTTTAACTGCTCACTTGTTGAAGGGCATCTGGGTTGTTTCTAATTTTTGGCTACTCTGAATAAAGCTGCTGTAAACATTCACGTACAGACTTTGTGTGAACATAACTTTTCATTCCTCTGGAATAAGTGTCCAGGAGTACAGTTGCTAGGTCGTCTGCTGGTTGCATGTTAGTTTTTCAAGCAACTGCCCAACTGTTTTCCAAAACCTATTTGCAAAACCTGTACAGTTTACATTCCTACCAGCCATGTCCAAGTAATCAAGTTTCTCTGCATCCTCACCGGCCTTTGGTATTGTCACTCCTTTTTCTTTTTTTTTTTTTTTTAATTTTTTTTTTTTCAACGTTTTATTTATTTTTTTTGGGATAGAGAGAGACAGAGCATGAACGGGGGAGGGGCAGAGAGAGAGGGAGACACAGAATCGGAAACAGGCTCCAGGCTCCGAGCCATCAGCCCAGAGCCCGACGCGGGGCTCGAACTCACGGACCGCGAGATCGTGACCTGGCTGAAGTCGGACGCTTAACCGACTGCGCCACCCAGGCGCCCCGTGTCACTCCTTTTTCTTAAAGCTACCCTGGTAGGTGTAGGGTGACACCACATGGTAGCTTCAGTTTAAATTTCCCTGATAAATAATGATTTTGAACATCTTTTCATGAGCTTATTGGCCATCCGTGTATCCTCTTTGGTGAAATGTCTATCTGTGTCTTTTCTCATGTTCTAATTGGATTTCCTGTTTGCTTTTTTACTATTGAGTTTCGAGAGTTTATATTTTTTAGATACTAGTCCTTTGTCAGATACACGGTTTGGAAGTATGTTCTCTCTCCAACTTGTCTTTCAGCCTCTCAACAGGGTCTTCAAAAGTTTTTGACTGTGACAGAGTCAGCTTTGTCACCTCTTCCTTTAATGAGTCATGCTTTTGGGGTCAAGTGGGAGAACTCTTTGCTTGGCCATAAATTCCAAAGGTTTTCTCCTAGGTTTTTTCCTAAAAGTTTTGTACTTGTACGTTCTATATGTAAGTCCATTACCCACTTTGAGTTAATTTTTGTACAAGAAATGAGACTTAGGTCAAGGTTCCTTTCTCCCCTCTGGATATCCAGTTACTCCAGTGCCACACGTTGCAAGGCTCTATTTCTTTCATTGAATTGCTTTTGCACTCTTGTCAAAAACCAGATGGGCATACTTGGTTGAGGGTCTATTTCTAGATTCTTCATTCTGTTCCATTGGTCTATGTGTCTATCCTGCCAATACCACACAGTCTTGATTGCTGTAGCTACATAATAAGTCCTGAAATTAGATAGACTGATTGCTCCCTCTTTATTTCTTTCTTAAAAAATATTTTAGCTATTCTAGATCCTTTGTCTTTCTGGATAAATTTCAGGACAATCTTTTCTGTGTCTCCAAACAATTTAGTTTGGATTTTGATAGGAATTTTATTAAACTTGTATATCAATTTGGGGAGAATTGACATCTTCACGATGTTTGAATCTTGCAGTTGAGGAACATGGTATGTCTCCCCATTTATTTAGATCTGTTTTGATTTCTTTCATCCACATTATGTAATTTTCGTATGCAAGTTCCACACATATTTTGTTAGATTTACACCTAGATATTTTTCTCTTTTGTTTACGTATACAATTGTAAATGACACTGTATTTTTAATTTCAGTGTCCATGTGATGACAATATATAGACATATAATTGATTTTTGTATATTTATCTTATATCCTGCAACCTTGCCTAACTCTTACTAGTTCTATGAGTTTTACCTTTTGTTTCTACTCATGTTTATTTAACATTTTCTGTGTGCCAGGCATTATGTTAAGACTTTCCACGTGCTTGTCCAAGTTCAGTAGGTAGTGGAGCCAGAATCTTGAGAGGCAGACTATTCGGTCACTTCATTTGTTAGTTTGGCAGATATTTAAGGAGAACCTATATGGGCCACAGTGGATGCAGACACAGGGCTCCTGCCCTCCTGGATCCTACAGTCTGAAACTGGCATTAGAAGTAACACAAATGGTTATATGATAAAAACAAGTTAATTAGTTATAATTTAATTAACAGCATTTGACTCATACTCTAAGTCAGTAAAGCAGTGACACCTTAGCCAGCCTTGTGGAGCGGGAACATCCAGGGAGGGCTTCCTAAACAGCATCCATTATCCTGGGAACGGTTTTCCAAGAAGCCAAACTATTCATTGGTTCTTGTCACTTACGTCAATTTCTGAAATTCAGAGATGTCTGTGATAAAAGCTCATATGAAGAGAATTGTAAACGTCGGTTGCCAAAGAGCCTAGCAACTCCTGGCCAAAACTGAATGAAGTTTTCCAGTTGCCTCTGTCTCCTTCCCTCCTTTGCCTGCTACTGTGTGAGACCTCCCCCCTACCCTCTGCACCAGTGATTCCCACCGAGGCCCCAGGTTCCTTGACCTCTGTACCAGCCAGCTCAGTCCAACCCTCTCCAGCTGACCCTCCGCTTGGCTTGGTGCTGCTGGCCATGCCCTGCTTGCAGACTTCCTCTCCTTCCCTTCCACGTTGCCAGGTTTCCTCCTCTCTGGAGGGTTCCCTTCCTCTTTTCGCCTGGCGAGCTGGGTTACGGTGTCATTTGAGATGGAAAAGAGGCCCGTTCAAGGAGTGAGGTGCAGGGTCAGATCCCTTTTCTGCCAGTCTGTCTGGGAAAATCATCAGTGTCCCTAAGCCTTGGTAACAGTAACTCTAAGTTTCTGGTCAGTTGGGGAATAAATCTTACTTTATAGAAATTTGCCCTTCAGACAGCCTTCCAGGTCAAGACCCCTCTACCCTTGAGAAGGGAAGGCACGGACCCCCGGTGGGCACAGTGTACCTGCTCCCATGGCTCGGGGCTGCGGCTGGCCCAAGTGTCACGTTCACAGGAAGGACAGTGGGTCCCGAGCCAGTACTGTCCCCACTCCCGTGTCTTTCCGCCCTCGGCAGGCCCGCAGAAATGAGGATGTTTCCTTCTCTTCCTGTTTTCCCCCCTGACCACAGGAGAAATTGCTTGTCTCTGAGTCAGCGTGGAAGAAGGAGAAGGACATCGTTTCCAAGGAGATCGAGAAGCTGCGTGTGTCCATCCAGACCCTGTGCAAGAGCGCACTTCCCCTGGGGAAGATCATGGACTACATCCAGGAGGACGTGGACGCCATGCAGAACGAGCTGCAGCTGTGGCACCGTGAGAACAAGCAGCACGCCGAGGCCCTGCAGGAGGAACAGAGGTCAGCAGGAGCGAGGGGGCGAGGGGCCCCCACATCTGCCCAGGGCCCCGGGGGGGATGGGGAGCCTTCACCTCTGCCCGGGGCCTGGGGGACATCTCCCCTGCAGGAGGAACAGAGGTCAGTCGGGGCATGGGGCTGGGGAGGGGGGCCCCACATCTGCCCAGGGCCGGGGGGGACATCTCCCAGGAAACCACCACCCTCCCCAAAAGCGGTGTCTTCTGCATTCATACCGCAACATGCACTTCTTTGTAACAAGTAGGAAAGATTTGGAGTTACCTTTCGCACGTAATTAGACGTAGGCAGTAAAAACTATGGGGAACCGTGCAGTATGGGTATTATTTTTTTATGTGTCTTGCCACAATCCCCCCCAATTTTGTAACTGTTTGTAGTTTGGCAGTGTTTTCACTTTTTACTCCAGAAGAAATAAATGCAGGTGAACTCATTTCGAAATTGCTACCGTGAAGGAAATAGAACCGCTAAAGAGAGATTTATCTTAGGGAAATGTTTGACACTTGTATTTATAATCGTCCCAGCATGAAACTATATCAGTTGTTAATGTTTTTTTTTTTTTTTCCAGAAAAGTATCTGATTGGACTCAGTGATATATCTCTAAGCCCGTATAATAAGCTGTGTTATAACGAAGCTATACTCTTTTATTAGTCTGCTTATTCTTAAAAATTTCCTTAAGATTTTAAATTCCAGCACGACAGGAGTTAGGAAATCACCGAGAACTTTTTGGTGCCGAGTCCAGCGTGGTCATTTGTTAGCACTTTGTACGTTTCGTTTAACGTACTAAAAAGTAGCACCCAGATGGTTCTTCCTTTGCAAAACTGATGTTGCTTTATGGAGGATGGTTGGACACCATCACTCTTTTTGTATTTATTCTGTATCGATATGCTTAAAAAATACTAAAGGGAAAGGCTGATTTGACCTCTGCCTTCCCAAGTATGTTCTAGATTTTTCCTGGCACGTAACCCAGCACTGAAAGGCCTCATGCCTTGGGCAAGGGAGTCCGGAGGGAGGGTCTCTGGGGGGAAGCCCTTGCAGCTGGGTGAGCCTCCCCCTGGAGGAAGTGAGGGAGGCGGAGGGCTGCCCGGCGTGGCGGTCTTGGTGGCCGCGCCGTCCCCAGGGCTCTCTGCAGCGTACGTCACGTAAAGACTTCAGACACATTAGGCTCCTGTGTATAATTTCACATTTGACTCCGCTTCGGGTCGCGGTGAGGCTGTGACGCCCGTTGTTCCCAGGCGTGGGGCTTTCGTCCCTCCGTGTCATCACCCGAGCATGTTCGTACTCCTAGCCCTTTTCTGTGGATGCCGTGAATAACCTCCGTTTGTCTTCTTGCGTCGTTTTGGTCAAGAAGCGCGCGTCCGCGGAGCCGCGTGGTCCTCACGAGCCCCTGTGTTGTTTCCCGCCAGCATCACGGACTGTGCCGTGGAGCCCCTGAAGGCCGAGCTGGCGGAGCTGGAGCAGCTGATCAGAGACCAGCAGGACAAGATCTGCGCCGTGAAGGCCAACATCCTGAGGAACGACGAGAAGATCCAGAAAATGGTGTGCAGCATCACTCTGAGTTCCAGAAGGTGAATGCTCGGACGTCTCGGAAGCCGCCCGCCCTCCTCGGGCCGAGAATAAAAAGGCAGAGAGAGCCTCGCTCCTCTCTAAGCTCAGTTTCCCGAAAAAAATGAAGTTTTCGGTGTCCTCTGACCGACGCGCAGGCTCGCTCCCGCCCGGAAGGGCCATGTTCTCGTACCTTCCTCCCGCGGGCGTGTGGCCCGTGGAGGGGACTCCCACACGCGTATTCTCCGTGTCTCGGCCGCGGCCTGTGTGCTCAGCTCTGTGCCAGAATCCTCCAGCAGGCGAGCGGTGCTGGCGCGCCGAGGGAGACCCGCGTCCCTCGTCTTCAGGTCTCAGGCCTCGAGTCGGGCACTGGCACTTACATGCAGAGCGAGGTCGACTTTGATGAGCAAGGTTGACTTTGAGTTCATCCCCCCTTGCAGAGGGGTCATTTGAGCCTGTATCTCTAGGAGGCACGCGGGAGGTTTTTAAACCTCTTACCCATGGCCCGCGCTGCTCGAGGGCATTTTCTCATGGGTCCCTGTTGCCTCTGGCTTGTGTTTACAGCCTTAAAGTTCAGAGATTTGAGGAGGTTTCAGTGTGTCCTTGGTGGGTGTCTGGCCCCCGGGTTCTCCCCACGGAGGCAGCAGTGAGCCCGGGTGGGGGGCCTCGCTGTCCTGCGCCCGCGGCTTCGGCCTCTTCCCTCTTCCGCGCTCAGTCGTGCGTCCCTGGGAGGCAGGAAGACTTCGAAGGATGCACCAGTTGACCCCATTTTTTTGATGTTACCATTTTTTTGGGAAATTGTTTTTTAAAGCAAGGCTTTTTAAAAACATGGTTTATATTTAGTTTTTCACATACGATATCGTCAACATTTACGAAAGTCTTAACTTCGTACGTAAAGGCTGTCCCCTGGTCAGAGACATACTCACAGGTCTTGGGTTCTGGGTCCCGATACCGTTATTTCTAGATATTTGTTGTGTGAACCACGCAGTGCCATTGAAACGCTAGAATTGCCTGAGGAGTTTTGCTTCTTTAAGGATTAGCACGAATGGCATGGGTAGGTTTTCTTCCTGGCATTTCCAAAATACGTCCTTTTCTAAGGTAGTTACGTGATCTTCCAAGCTGAATAAGCTTGACATCCGATGATTAAGTTCCGCCGTTTCCACACACGGGCCATCTCCTCGTTTCTACAGCGCACCGTTAAATTGTGTGATCAGATTGTGCTGAGTACATTGTTGGAGGCGGGCGGCCGGCCAGTTAACTGTCCTTCGTACACTTCTCTTCTCTCCTACTGAGTTGAACGACTTAGCCCTACAGGGACTGTTTTGCTTCAAGATGTCTGCCTTTTATGAATTTGTATATCTGAATAGAGTTTTTGTGTTGCAAAAAAATTGCATACATTTTATGTGAGGCAGATTTTGTATGAAGTAGTTTATCAAATTGTATCATAAAATTTATTTTTATTTTATACATAAATCATTAAAAACGATCACATATTTTTGCTAGAAGCGTATGGGTTGTGCAATTCAGTTCACACCTGGAAAAAACATTTATAAGCATTTGGGGGTTTTTTTATTTTCAAATGTGCGTATTTTGCTTTTTCTGGTGAAGAAAGTTCAGGGAAATTTATCTTTTCATTCATACCATGACACTTACACCTCTTCTGTGTAAATCGAGGTTTTATAAGCCAGGTAAGCATTTATCAGAAATTTCAGGATCATTCATGAAGTTATAGAAAGTCTCTGCATGTGATTATGACCGTATCTTATCATAGGCACAGTCAGTCCTCAGGTTATTCATTACTTTGAGAAGATACACAAAGTGTTTTCCTCTACTTTGGCTGAGACATTTCCAGGAAGTACTGAAGTCACACTGCAGGAGTTTTAATTTAAAAGTTGAGCTGACGCTAATTTACATTCGAAGAGAATGCGTAAAGCTTTGGAAAAATTAATTCAGGACTAAAATTTGAGCTTTCTGCTCCCGTGTTCATGCTTATTTTTCTTTTCAGTAAGCAACTTAAAAAAATAGTAACGACTGAAATCTGTGAAGATGATGTCATTTAGTGGCACGAAGTGCGGGTTAGGATCTGGGGTGGCCTGGAATTGCATTCCGTGCTGACAGGTCCCCTGAAGTGTACTTGGACTTGATCGCTAAGCTGCACCCGGCTCACTGAGACGCATCTTCCGTCCGTGCGCAGTGTCAGGGCATAGAGCGAAAGCAGGGCCAGCAGGGCGGGGACCGGCAGCCTAATGAACAGGTAGATGTCAAAGGTCACGGGCCGAGGGTGACCCGTTTGCTCGAGCTTCCTCAAGAATCCGGCTCAAACGAGGCCGCGCACAGCAAGACCATGTGCTCAGCCGTTCCCGCCGATGGGGAAGACATTCCGCTCAGAGCTGGACTCCGAGCCCAGCTCCGGAATCTTCCACCCACGCCGGCGATGCAGAGAGCCGCTCGCCTCCTCGCCTCCGTGGCCACGCCTCCGAGGAGCCAAGCACCGCCTCCTTGGAGCAGGCTTCCACGTGGTCCGCAGCAGAGGGTGGAAGTGAGAACGGGAGTCGCGGAGGCCCCCTAGCGGCAGAGGCCAGAACTCCTGTCACGCTCCGGAGCCCAGCTGGGGCCTGCACTTGGGCTCTGAGGTTAGCTGTCCTGCGATGCGCTTTATAAATAAAAAACTTTTATATTTTTCTAAGAGGTGTTTTGATAAGTATAGTTATACAAGCCTTACAGTAAGGCAGAAGTGAGGCCCTACAAGACTCCCTTTTTTGTTTGTTAACGAGCGTCTTCATAAAGGGAGATTGGGAAGGACATTTTTTTTAACTTTTTTTTTTTAATTTATTTTTGCAAGACAGTGAGAGACAGAGTGCTAGCGGGAGAGGAGCAGAGAGAGAGGGAGACACAGAATCCAAACCAGGCTCCAGGCTCCGAGCTGTCTGCACAGAGTCCGATGCGGGGCTTGAAATCACAAACCGTGAGCTCGTGACCTGAGCCGAAGTCGGTGCTTAACTGACTGAGCCACCCAGGCGCCCCAGGGAAAGACTTTTTTAAAATTCAGCTAGAGAAAAGACATTTAAATGGCTTTGAAACTATAAAAAATTTTAAATCCATATTTAGAGCTGAGTTCCAAATTGATAGCTTCTTAAACCAAGCAAGGAGATCTTTCTGGTAAGAAAACGGGGTTCAAAACGTGAAGTCCATAAATGACACGGAGGCTGTGCCCGGTTAGCCGGGGAGGGGTCCAGGCTTTGTAGACCAGTGAGATCAAAACCCACGCTGGCCTCCCCGGGCCAGAGCTGCCAGCAGGGCGCCCTCAGGCCCCCGCCCCCTTGTCACCTGCCAGGCAGTCGCAAGGGCACGCAGGACGGAGGGCCTCCGGGCTCATCAGTTACCCTCACGTCGTCTGTTTTGTCCTTCACTGTGCTCTCACGTCTCCCACTTGGGTCTCAGAAAAAGCCTTTTAGCGCCGCCATCGCCACAACCGTAACGATCAGAAAGCACTTGAGTTTGCCCTTCAGAGCCTTCCTCGAAGCCAGTACCCGGCTGGACGCTACCAGCTGGTGTGCGCGGGGCTCCCTCCCCGGGGGACACTGGTGTGAACACGGGCGCTGCTGCTCCCCCGTGGGGGGTGGTCCCGCCCCGACGGGCTCTGGCTTTTCTCCAGCGTCCTTCCTGGTAGGGACGGCACAGGACGTGCGTGGTGGCACGTGGCCGTCGGGGCGTCGAGGGCCGTCAGGCGCTCGTGGGCTCTGCAGCCGGTGGGGTTGTTGAGCCAGATCGCGGCTGTGCTGTCTAGACCTCAGGCATCTGGCGAGGTGTCCGCTCCCCTGGGGACAGATGTGGGAATGTCCGGATTCGTCATCGGTTGGAAGGACCTCACCAAAGAGGCCATGTCTGTGAATGGTGTTGCCCTGGAGGGAATTGCCTGTGGGCCTGCCTCCTGGACATCTTTCCCAACCACTGTCTGGGGGGAGCTGTGGCAGGCGGGTCTGTGTGACTCACACCGGCCTGAGTGCGTGGGCCGGACCCACACACTGGAGAACCGACTCAGCACGTGGGAACGTGAATCGGAACCAGCCCTGCCGCAGTGAAAGATGGCAGGAAGCATCAGGACGTGACGGGGGCTGCGTGGCCTTGGAAGCGCCGTGGAAACCCCCGTGTTGTCTCATGAAGCCGGACTCTGCGACCTTGGGAGGCGTTGGGAGACGAGGCCCGGCTGGCCCTGGGCCACGGCCTGATCGTGGCTCCCACCAGAGCCCAGCAGGGCACCCTGTGACTGTGCTGTGTGAAAATGAGTTTTTAATATTTTTAAATGTACTTTATTTTTTAAATATTTATTTTTTAAAAAAAAATTTTTTTTTTCAACGTTGATTTATTTATTTGGGACAGAGAGAGACAGAGCATGAACGGGGGAGGGGCAGAGAGAGAGGGAGACACAGAATCGGAACCAGGCTCCAGGCTCTGAGCCATCAGCCCAGAGCCTGACGCGGGGCTCGAACTCACGGACCGCGAGATCGTGACCTGACTGAAGTCGGACGCTTAACCGACTGCGCCACCCAGGCGCCCCTTAAATATTTATTTTGAGGGGCACCTGGGTGGCTCAGTCAGTTGAGCGTGGGACTTTGGATCAGGTCACGATTTCACTCTTTGTGGGTTCGAGCCCCGCGTCGGGCTCTGTGCTGACGGCTCGGAGCCTGGAGCCTGCTTCGATTCTGGATCTCCCTCTCTCTCCGCTCCTCCCCTGCTCACGCTCTGTCTCTCTCTCTCTCTCTCTCTCTCTCTCTCTCAAAAATGAATAAACGTTCAAATTTTTTTTAATATTTATTTTGAGAGAGAGAGAGAGAGAGAGAGAGCGTAAGCAGAGGGAGAAAGGGAGAGAGAGTCCCATGTAGGCTCCACAGTGTCAGCACAGAGCCCTCTGTAGGGCTCGATCTCGTGACCACGAGATCATGACATGAGCCAAAATCCAGAGTCAGACACTTAACCGACTGAGCCTCCCGGGTGCCTGAAGATGATTTTTTTTAAAAAGAAACTTA